ACAGAGCTTCAAGAGGTTCTTATGAAGAATCAATTCCTCCAGGTCCCATTGACCCAAGATCTTGATTAAACAAGCACCCCACCCTGTCAGGGAAGCATCTATAAAAATATGAAGATCCAAACGAGAGGGAGAAAGAAGAACACTCTCTGTAGTATTGGTTCTGTTGAGCTACAAGGCGAAATTGTTGTGGAGGGAAGGATGAAGATAGATACGACAGGATAAGGGATCCCAAGAGAGGTTCCATTGATCGTGCAGAGTCCACTGCAAAAAGATGCATGTTCAATTCAGTTCAATGGGAAAACCAAGTTTTTTGAAATGGATGGTTTACATTTAAATAAGGTAGAGGCTGGCTTGTTTGCAAGGGCTATTAACTCAATTGTAAGGACAGATTTAAACTAGGACTAGACAGTGGTGAAGCCCATAATAATGAAGAAAAAATAACATCCAGAGAAAAGTATAGAGTAGAAAAAGTACAAAGGTAGTTCTAAAGGTTGGTTAAACTGTTACTAATGTAATACTAGAAGTATAAGAAAATAAAACAAATGACTTTAGAACTCTGGTCAGAACATGGGATTCTGATGTAAAGGGAATAACTCAGAACTGGTTAAAGTTAGACAATTTAATGATAAGAATTTCTTTAAAATACAAGGTTATAAGTTGTTTAATAGGGATAAAGTACTAAAAAAAGTTGGAGGAGGGACTTTATTTGTAAAATGTAAGTTACGTCCAGTTCAAGTTAAGGTTATCAAATCTAACAGCAATGAAAATGAATCTGTTTGGGTTTCTGCTAGTGGTTATAAGAGGGGAAGGCTTTTACTTGGAATTTGTTATAAACCACCAGATGAAACTGATGGAATTGATGAGAAAGTCTGCAATGAGATAAAGAATTCAACTGTTAATGAGTTTATAGTTCTGGGAGATTTTAATTTTAGGTGTATAAACTCTAAAATGTTAAGAGTCAAATCATCAGGTTTTTAAAAACTTTCAGGACAGTTTTCTTTAATAACTTGTTATGGAACCTGCTAAGAACAATGCTATTTAGATTTATAGTTAACTTCTCATAAAGAAATGGTTAATACGGTAGAGATTAGGAAACATCTGGGTGCAAGTGATTATTGCTCAATTAGACTTGATGTTTTGCTGCATATGAAGATAAGGAATAATGAGATCTTGGTTCCAAATCTCAAAAAATCAAATTATGAAGAGAGGAGACAAGAATTTACTGCTGTGAATTGAACAAATGAATTAGTTGGAGAATCTTATAAAATGTGGAAAAAATTTTTAAATTAAATTATTGAATATTCAAGATAGGCACATTTCTTATAGACAAGAAAAGAAGTGACTGCAAATAAAAAATGCTAGGTTGCCTCACAAATGGTATAAAGGATAAAATTAAAGTATTATAACTTGACTGCATTGAAGGATGGTTTGAAGGACTATAGACGATTAAGAGTGTTGGTCAACTAGGAAATTAAGAAATAAAAAAAGTATATGAAAAAAAGATTGGCTGAAATTTTAAAACTTAACAGTAAGGATTTCTTCAAATATATTACATGTAAGCAAAATGTTAAGATGGGAGTACAGCCTTTCAGGGGTGATATAGGAATGCTAATATCTAATAATTATGGGATGTCTAGGATAGTAAATTCTACTTCTTCAATTTTTACTAATGAAGATTTAAGCAATATTCCTCATTTGAAAAGGTTCTAGATGAAAACAAGATTCAACAAGACAGTCATATTAATTCTAAACTTGTTCAAAAAACAACTGGAAAGCTTCAAGAATGATAAAGCTCCTGGGCCAGATAATATTTACCCATGGGGATTAAGTATTGGCTATGTGATCCACTTTCCTTTATTTTTCCTAAGTCCTAGAAAAATGGGCAGGTGCAAAAAATTGGATATTGACTAATGTTACTCCTCTTTTCAAGGGAGGTGGTGGATATTGTCCCTGTAATAATGGTGAGAATTGTAAGACAAGGGGACAAGTCATCTTCAGCTAAGACAGCTTTATTTTTCTAACAGGGTGGTTGACCATTGGAATGGGTTGCCTTCAGAGGTGGTAGATGCAGTTAATCTAAAGGAGTTTAAGGGATGTCTTGATAAATATTTGGATGATTAGGACTGGCCTTCAGAGTTTTACTTTTATTTTAGAGTTTAATATAGTGGATAGAATGGATGCGCATGAATGGATTAACGAGATTCCCATTGTCCCTATCTACTATCTAGCGAAACCACAGCCATGGAACGGGCTTGGAAAAATCAGTAAAAATTGTATTAGGTGGTCAAAATGCAGAAATTTTACAAAAACATGACAAAAATGATTAAATAAAAATGCAACATTAACTCATTAAAATCATTTTTATTTTGGAAAACAGCTTGGAATCTTTAAGAAGTAAGAATGAAATAGTATTAAAATTAATTATAATTTTTCAATGAGGTCCAATTATTAATTGCATACAAATCTACATAATACAATGATGCTTTATTACTGAAAAAGTTTATCAGATAATAAGCTATGAACTTCTGTCAGGTTATATCATCTTAATGAAAGCCTACTTGTAGGAGAATTAACTTGTTTATAGAAATCGAAGGATAGTGATAAATGGAAAATCTTAAAACTAGGAAAAAAGGATATCTTTGCACCTATTGTCAATAATTTCAATGCTTCTTGGATAATAGACTAGTAGTATTTCTAAATTTTTGCTGAAATTATTAAAATGTTGGGAAAGATTTAAATTATTACTACTGCTTTCTTGTTCATAAAATAAGGTAAATTGTAGTGGAATTTGAAGTGAAAAATTATTTCCAACATCAAGAAGTGTAAAATAGTACACCTGAGGTACTGAAGTTTGGAAAGGGCTTGCCTCTTATGGGAGAAACAAACAAAGATGCTGTGGGGAAAAAAAAAGATTGTGATATAACTACTGAAAAACCTTGAAACTTTCTGCATGTTTTAATAGTGGCAAAGAAAGTTAATTTGTTAATGGAAATTTCAAAGCTACAAATAAGTAACCTTACACAATACTTTTGTGGGGCTTTATTCAAAAAGCTCTATGCAATTTTGGTCCCCTTATTATACAAAAAATGTCAACCTTCAGGAAAGAGTGCAGAAATACGCTACTACTTAGTGAAAAAATTGTTGCTATGAAGAAATACTTAAAATTTTGATTTAACCATTTTAAGTTTCTAGAGACTTAAATAATGCATTCACAAAAGTTCTGCTTCAATGAGGAAATTATACATTTGGAGTTGAATATTAGTGGTATTTAGTAATTGTTTTGAAGACCAAGATCTAGAATATTTCTCAAACAAAACTACTTTTTTTAGTTCAAACATTTAGAATGGTTTATTTGATGATGTATTATGTGTTTTTGACTAAATTTTTCAACATTTTTCAATATGTATATGAATGCATAAGCCTATACCTGAGTTAGAGATAACTAAATTTTCACATGATTTACAATCATAAGTATTCAAAATTTTTGAATATATGAATTATAAATACTTCAATAGTTGAATCAAGCAATCATCATAAAGAAATATACAGCATGCAACCAGATCTTCTGTTAGGCCTACTTTGGATATAAATGTAATACTTGTTTTTTCCTTCCTTCTAAATCATACCCATTTGCATTTTGTACTACAACAGTTATTCAAGCATTATTAATCTACTAAAATGAAAACCAAATTTTGATTAGTCAATTAAACAGAATTAGCTACTTTCCCTATTTGGATGATAAACTTAGGATGCAAAGGCATAAGAAACAGCAAGATGACAGAAACTTAACTTGGCTCATTGACATCACTCAGCATTACAACAAAACAAATCCAATATAGCTCTTTATATCCATTTCCAGCATGCTTACAACATAATTTTAAACTTAAAGAATTCTGACTAACATCACATCATCAGGCAAACCATTTCAAAATTTAAAATTCTAACCTAAAAAGAATTTTGTTGAAGAACAAGTCTACAGTGGGGGTTTCCAAGGCTAAAATCTACTTCTCTTAATATTAAATTTAATATTTTCAAATATGGACTTTGGAACTACCTGGTAGATTTTTTAACTCCTCTAACCACCCAAGTCCATTTGACCCAGTAATTAATTAATACAATTCAGTAAGGAAGGGACAGAGAGAGAGAGAGAGAAAGCAAAATAAGCAAAATTGCAAGTAAATTATTATTTATAGTTGTATTTATTTCACCATTCTGTTTATTTTTTCAGTTAAATAGATGGTATTTCCAGGATTAAACAAACCTCCTATTTCAAGTTATACTTTACATTCTTATACTCTTCAGAGAAAACATGCCAAAACTTCAAGCTTCTTCTCAAGGTTTAAATTTCTAAACCAGATATGAATTTGTATATATAATTCAATATCTGAGAGTACTTTCAACAAATTGGTTTACATATATTTCCTTCTGTATTATGTATACATTCCAAAAGAGGCCTTGTACAACTTTCAAGTTTAGTAAAAACTTACAAGGTCACAATAGTCGTCATACCTTTACATTAAACATAATTATGAATAAAATATAATTTACACTCTTTTTCATTACAGCTTAAGTTCAACTTTGGTTGAAAGCTTGTGTAAAACAGCAGCAACATATTCATAAATATTCAACATAATACTTATATTTACAAAATGTATACAAATTATAATACTAAATTTGAATACTGAAAATATGAAGCATGCTTAAATTCCTCAAATGAATAATAATAATAAGCTTACAACAAACATTTCACTAGAAAATTATTTTGCTCTTTTGTTTGAGTGTGTAATAAACTTTTTGTTTCACTTCTACTAACATGATCTAATCATAAAACTGTCCTGCTATGATCATAACTTAACGTTGCTCAAAGAAACTAGATTATAATTTAAAAGTTCAAGAAATTAATGGGTGGGAAATACATCATATCTAAATTACAATTTACAATACTGATGTATAAGAACTGTTTTTAAAATGTAATACTAATAGTAATACTTGTTACTTACATAAAACAGCAACTGCTTGGGATTCAAACAGAAGAGTTTCATTCTTATTCCTCTTTTCTAAAAGTACACTATACGGATTTGGAGGGATCGCTTTATGATAAACGCGAAAGCTTTTACCTAAAGGCATTGCTGTGCAATCACTGGAGTCTGAAGAGTGGATGAACTGAAACACGAGCACAGTGTCACTCAGCCTCCGCCTCCTGGTCTCATTGACCAACGATACACAGTTTTACATTAGGTTTCATTTAGTTTGATAATGAATAAAGTAATTTATAATAAATACATATTTAAATTTGGTACAATTCTACTAAGAATAGTAAATTGTACTAACTGTATGTCATAAATTTCTCGCTCAACGTTTCCTACATATTACCGCAGACAGTTATAATTCAGCATCAACATTGACACTCTCACTGAGTCAACGAAAATATCACGGCAAAATAGCTGCTGAGCGCGTCCTCTAGACATTTAAAAATTATGTTGTTAATAATTGAAGTGCTATCTGTCTAAGTTATGTTGAATGAAACAAAAAGAATCCGTTTATAAAACTGAGTGGGGCATTTAACGTAGCATTCTTTAAGGAAAATTATTCAGTTAAAAATAAAAAATCTGAGAAAATATGTAAATAATTAGAGTCAAAATACGTACTTGTATAAGTAATGCATCATTTATAAATGCATTTAATATTTCACAGCACCATATAAAATTAATCCAGGAAATACTTTTTTCATTACCGGTGGAGTATGGGATCAATATATATATATATATGTATATATGTCGAGAATATTTTCATTAAATAAGATAGATTTTCCAGTCTACACTGAGATAGTGGGGAAGAAAAATTATCTCTCCTGCTTTTCTGAATTTCTCCTACGATTATGATTAATCTAGGCAAATAATACTGTTTAGTAATACTAAATGATACTAGCTTTTTCTATTTATCTTGCATGCTTTTGGACATCACATGTAAAAATAGTACATAAATAGGGTTAGACACCCCTTAAAAAATAAAATAATGCATTCATAATCCATTTCAGATTTATGGCATGCCTTGGAGAAATAAGATTATATCGAATGGTTTGTTTGTTTTGGGGTAAAGCTAACTGTGCACGGTCCAGCACGGGAATCAAACCCCAGATTTGGGTATTTTAAGTTCACAAACTTACCGCTGGCTCCCTAAGAGACTACTTAAGTATATTGTTACGACAGCGGGGGTCACGTGACGCTAGTAACACGTCATATTCTCGAAGGTTCGTGAAGCCTCA